TAATATTTATTTGGTTGAATCATAGAAAAAAAAAAAGAGTAATTAGTATGATTTTTACATTTTTAGATTATGACTTAGCCACTCTATATGCGCTAGCTACCCACTGTTCAAATCACCAAAAAAGGTAAATATGACATTGAGCATAGCCAACCATTACATTAGACAGTCTGATCGTCAACCTGCCACATAAATAAGCCGCAGGTGTGACAATATACACGGATTCATTTGTCATTTGTCATTTGTTATTATTTATTATATTATTTATTATTTATTATCCATATCATAGTAGTGTCAAACTTTAACCACCACCATAATCATGTTTAGCATGTTTAGAATACGTGATTACGCTAATGTAAATTAAAAGCATTTTTTAAAAAGTTTGAATATGTTTTTTTATAACTAAATTATCAATAAAACTTATTTTAACTAGATTCAAAATACTGCTACTGGATCAATGAGAAACAGTAATCAAGCTGTTCGCATCAATTCAAATCGTCGTATAACAAGATCTGCTACAGCAGTTCTTAGTAACCAGATACTAGCTCGTAGTACCTCACGAACTACAAGTCTTAAGAATAAACGACAACAACAACAACCACCGCCACCAAAACAACAACATCGACCAGCACGAGTTACTCAACCAGAGGGATATACCAAGAACATTGAAAAAAATACAACTTTAATATGTATGAACTGTGAAGTTAAACTGAAAGATAGGCTGTTTGCTTTAGATTGTGGGCATGTAAGTTGTGGAGAGTGTCAAAGTCAATTCAAAACACACAAAAAATCATGTCCTGGTTGCGGGAAAAAAACAAAGCAAATTTTACAATTATTTGCATGAACAAATAATGATAATAACAAACAGTAACAATGCAATTATTTAATTAATTAATTATATTAATAGAAAAATACATTTTTATTATAGAGATATTAAAAATCACATGATTTTTCTTTTCATATTGAACATTATAATTTTGTGTTAAAAAAACTTTTGCATAATTTAAATTATACTGGTTATAATAAAATATATTATTACTTTTGTCCAAATATATTTTAAATAATCTAGCTCTTTGTGATAGACTAGATGTAAAATCTAAAGAGTTGTGTACTATATCAAAAATCATGGTTTTGTTGGAACGGGTGAAAATTGTGAAAGGATTCAATTAGTCGTGGATTTGTCTTTGAAAAATTGATAGGATATTGATTCAAAAAACAAGATTTTTTAAAAAAATAGAATTTATAAATAAACAAATATTTATAAAATATAAAATTAATATGATAGGAAAATAATGGGAAAATACCTTGTCATCCTTGTTATCTTTATCTTCAACTGAATTCTCTGAAACAGCACCATGAAGGCACTGATGCATATATTTTACATTTTTAAGCTCTTAAGAGATTTTCTAATTCATCAACATCCTTTCGACTAGAATTTCATCATCATTGCCACCGCTATTAGAAGTTATTTTTGATAATGATGCTTTTGTTTGTGCGTTATAATCTCTAGCACATTCACATAATAAATAGCTTTTAATTCTTTGTTTAGAACAGCATATATAAAAAAATGAATTATCACTAACACTACTATTATTGTCATTATTGTGTTTTGGTTGATTCATGGTATGTATTTAAATATTTATTTATTCTCTATGCTTTATAATACCAAGTTTTTTGTATCAATTCTATTAAGATCATTAATCTCATTATAATTTGACTATTTCTTGATATATTTTCCACCAAAAAAATTTAACCTTAATTACGTTGAATTATGTTTAAGTGTTTTCATTATGTTGAATTTTGTATATGCTACATAATTATAAACAAATCAAGATCTTCTGTCAATTGTTCCGATTTGTAATATTGACTTTTGCTGTAGCTTCCTATATATATATATCAAGGATTATAACAAATAAATAAATTATAATATTTTGACAAACTAATATATATATATATATATATTTAAAGAATAAAGAAAGTATATTTTACCATGTCTTCCTTTACAACAAATTTTTTGCCATAAGCTTCTAAAGATGCATCAAATCAATGAATCTTCAGCTTCTGAATCTAAAGCATTTTCAAGGTTTTTTATTGCATCTTGAGCTTTTAAAATGTAAATTACCAATCTGTATTTTTAAGAGATATAGTCAATCATGCCAAGTTATAAATTCAAGAAATGATGCTTTTTATTGACAAGATTATGTGAGAATAGACTATAATTAAAAAAAAATCACCTTCTAATAAATCTAATCCAACTTTTTTATTTTTTCTTAAAGTCATTTATAATACCTCAACACCAGTATTGCCATCTGCACCTAGTTGCAATTTAAATGCATAAAAATGAATATTTGGATAGTATCATCAATTACAGGTTGACGTAAAGTTTCTTGATGTGGAGTTCCAGCTGCATATAATATATATTATCCCATAAATAAATATTTTAAGTGTTTATATGTATCCATGCACTATTATCACTATAGTTGTTGTAACTATAATTATAAATTATCTTGAAGCAGCAAATTTGTCTAATGCAACTTGCCAAGATTGTTTTTCAAATAGTAAATATCCAGATATTAAATAAGAAGATGCATATTTATATGTTAGTGATTTTTTTGTAAATAAATTCTAAATGTATCATTCTCTTGAAAAATTAAATCTGAGTTTCCAACACAGTCCTAGTATATTTCTCTTGAACACAAATGTTCTAATTTCTTGGAGAATTTTCTTGCTTTTTAAATGATATTTATTGCTAGTAGAATTTTCATTTCCATTGCATAGCTCCAAGCACACTCAATATCAAATAATACAATATTAAATATGTAAAAATCTATTATAAATAAATTTAATCTTATGAATTGATGAAATATATTTTTTAAAGATATATATTACAATGATTTATCTGATATCATCATTTTTTTAGTAAATCTTCCTTTGCCATATGTAAATTTTAAAGATGATAGATTTTTTGTTTTAAGTATATCAAATTAATTTTTTTAATTAAAACAAAATTAAAAATTGAATGATAAATAAATATATATATTAATCATACTATAATGTGTATAGCCTTGATATCTAAGTCTATATGTGTTTTTTATTTATTGAAACTTTTCTTAAAAAAATTAATTGATTATTAAAAAACCATGCATCAATACTAATCTTTGTTCAAAGAAAAAATAAATTAAGGAGTGTACTAACTATCAAGTAGATATCTTATCTTTTTATATGGAGGTGGAGCTGCCTATTTTTACGTTGAAAATAGATTTTGCATACTTGTTAAGTAAATAACATTTTATTCTATGAAATGTGTATAAGTAATTGTATTGATGATAATGATAATACAGATTTAGTTGTTGACTTAATAGATAATAAGTACATTAAATGTGCCAGTATCAGTATCATTTTTCTTACTGTTCAAATTATTATTTGAATACATATTAGAGAAATCATTTCATAATCAGATAGAGATGTCTAAAAAATGTTTTGGTGAGACATTTAACTTTAATAATATATGTTAATTAATATTAATATATTCTTGATAAAGAAAACTGTTGATTTGTATATATTATGTAATATTTAATATAAAAGAATTATCTTTTAATGAAATAAAGATAGCTTGTATTTTTGCAATAATTAAAATATCGTAGAAAATGTATTTTGACTGACAAACATTTATCACGTGAGGGAATGCAAGTAATTAATTGGTCCTAAAAAATTTAATATTGCATTACTTCAATTGGAAAAACATCACCCCTCCTGCAAGGTCTGGGTTAAACATGGAGAAAATTGGGCAGTAAAAGTTATCCTAAGAAAAAAAAGTGATGTTGATTATTTAAAAGAAGCAATCAAAGTAAAGTTATCACCCTCTTTGGACAATGTTCCAATTAGTCGGATCATTTTAAAAAGACATGGCGAAGAAACTGAGTTGCGCCCTGGTTTAACTATAGATAAGAACTTTACAACTACCACTGACACACCAATTCAAGTATTAGTAAAAGAATCTGGTACGTAATCAGTTTTTTATGGTTTTTTAACCGCAAAGAAGTTATAGAAATGTATATATTATTTACGATGTTAAACCGATTTTTTTTATTTTAAATTATTTTCATCTGAATTTTTTTTTAACATCTCATAAAGAACAAGGTAAACACGTTTGTGGTTAAGTTATTACGATTATATATGAAAAAACTCATTTAACATTGTCCGATGTTCTTTATTATATATATTATAAAACATGAAGAAAACGGTAAAATTAATGAAATTTTAAAAACTTTAAAAAATCAGAGTGAAAATTTAGAAAATATGGTAAAGAATCGGAATGAAAATTTAGAAAAAATGAGCAAGGAACTCGATGAACGCGAAACTAAAACTATATCAATTGTCACAGGTAAGCAACCGTATTGTTGAAAATGTATTACAAGATTATGGGAACAAACATACGAAAGTACGTTCCGCGATTTCCATTGCGCAAGAATTAATTGATAAGCTATCATTAAATGTTAAAGTTGAGCCAAATGAATTTTCGTAGAGTGATCATAATGAGGGTCATCCTGTAAATACAAAAAAAGTCCTAGAATATTTTCAGGGCTCATTTATAAAACTTTATTGGTGGATGATAAAAAATTGTCAGAAAAAAATTCACCATTTATGTTAAACTTGGAGACATCATCAGGAAAATTTCTTAAAGGCAAATCAGACTTATATGTTTTGTGGGATAGTTCGGACTCTTTACGTAGTATAATTAATTGTATTAATGGAAATTAAAAAACCTGACAGCATTAATTCATCTCAACTTGATCAAGCAGTAGCGTAGCTGATAGCTGCACATACTACTTCCATTTTTACTCCATTACATCCATTGACTGATCTAAAAACATGTTGGTTTTTAAAATGGATAATGTTTAATGATAATAATGAGGCTATATTAAATAAAGCATTTAAATGGTAATGAACGAAAGATTGCATTAGGGATCATGGACTGTTGGATTTAAAATCGCTAGATTTTCTTATAATATGAGCTAAACAGCATTTAACGATTTCAGTAGCAGATACAATAGTTCAATTGATAACAAAATAAAATTAGAAAAAAAGTTCAATAATATAAATGATGGTATTGCAAATCTAGACGACCTGGTTGATTTCATGGAAAGAAAATATAAATTAAGAAAAATGCTCGCTTCGTACTTGTCTCAACCAACATTTAGAAGGTGATAGCCCGTTTAATTTTACATCAGAATATGCAGAAGATTATTATAATCTATTTTCTTCACATGGTGATGAAAATCATCATAACGGTGAATATATGTCAATGTTTAATTAGGAATACTATAACGAAGTTGCTTAAAAAAATTTCCTGTAAAAATTTAAATATTCGGAATGATTTTTTAAAAATCAGAATAAATAATCATGTAGTTATCCTCTATTTTGAATAATAATAATAATGTTAATTGAAAAAATAGAATTTATTGTTTTTCCCACAAATTAACGGTATTATTGCAGTCAGACTCCTATATAGTCACATCCTATATAGTCACAACATAATATAGTCACATTTTTTTGTTAAATCATAGTAAAAACAAGTCCTGTATAGTCACAAACACTATAGTCACCAAAATTCTTGAAATTTCACTATGGTCCCGAGGTGTGTGACTATATAGGAGTCTGACTGTATGCTTATACTTTTATACATCTTTGATATCATTTATTGATTGATACCGGTTCAATTACAGAATTTGAATATTTATTTATCATCATATTATATTCATTAAGAAATGCACGAGTATTTTAAAAAAATTACAAAATATTTCATCATTATTGACTTCACGAACGAAAAATTACATTTCATAAATGAAGGATTATAATTACCGGAAAGTTCCTCGACATTGTAGATACCCCTTTTTTGCACAATTTCAAAAGGTATTTAAATTCCTTGAAGTTAGACCGCAACAAAATGAATCACCAAGGATTTCAGGGATTGAAATTTGGTCGCCATCAATGTAATGTGATTGATTATTGTTATTATTTATTATTATTATTATTATGATTTTATGAAGTTATAGGGATCCAAATGAAGAAAATCATCCGTCAAAGGAATAGAATTGTAACAAGTCACGTGTAACAATGTTTTATTACAAGCCAAATAATGCAATGAATACTATACTAATTGAATCGATATCATGTGTGATTTTAATATAAACGATCCAGAATACTGGAATTACTATAGCTAGAAAAAATATCAAAAAAGACATCTCTCTAATTCTCTTATTTTTTAATTAACGCAGATACTGCACAAATTAGATAAACAAAAGAAACTGTCAGTGGAATAATCCAAGTTACTGTGTTGTATAGTACATCATCTAGTATTGGTAATAATATATTTTTTATGCTTCGAGTAAAATAACCAATGCTATAGGGAAAAAATGTATTGAGAATTGCATAAGCACTCAAATGGCGAGGCTTTGAAATAAGCTTTTATAGACATTCTGATTCTCGCTCTTCATGCAAACATTGAACAAGAGTGACATATGAATCCTCCGAGCTTGAAATGAGCAAAGAAACAATTTATTTAGTAAAAAAAGCATCAGAAAAAGGAAATTTATATCAAAATGGAATGTGTTAAGTTAGATGGAACTCAAGGCAGCTGGCCGAAGTGTTGCCATCATTATTGGAAAATCAGAGGATGAGATCTTTAAAATTGCTGGTAAATCTTTTGAATGGAATATTAAAACGAAGAGTATTTAACAATTGAAAAACAACAAGATGCAGATTCGAAACTAACATTTGTTGTTTTAAGAATGGGTTTGACTGGCAGGCAAATTTATTGTACTGATATTTAAATTCAGAATTAGTTAGAGAATGGGGAAATATAAGTTTAGTTTAACATTTATTATTATTCAATTTAAATTTATAGATTGTTAAATAACGATAATCAAAATTTGCATGACCTCATACTACCCTTAAAATCATATTTGGAAATTGTTAGAAATTTGTGTTCCTCTGAAATTACCTTTTTTTTTTTTTTAATTCTTTTAATTCAATTCATAAATTTTATAATTATTTTTTTATTTGAGAAAAAAAAAGTAATATATTTAAATAAAATAATAAAAAATGCCCGCTGACACGCGTCCTAACAACAACAACAACAACAATGATAATAATAATATTGTTACAACTGAAAATATTGATCCAGAACTTTTATCACAATTAAATCATAAAAAAGAAATCGTAAGTAGTAAAATTCAATACGATTTTTTTCTTTCTCCATTGACAATAAATTTACCAAATAATAAAAAAGTATAAAATCATCATTACTCAAGCATATTGACAAAATTTTATCTATTAAAATGACACATGTAATTTAAGCTTGTTGATGCTTTCACTCAAGTTGCAAATGCTCTTAGATACGCAGCAAGAGCATGTGATGAATTTCAGTCACTTATTCCAAGAGACGTAGGAATTATACCTGGTGATAATAACAATAATAACAACAATAATGATAATAATATGATATCATTTGGTGGTGGTGGTAATGTTGCTGGTTTTAGTATTGGTGGTGGTGGTAGCAGTAATACTGCTAGTATTTCACGACGCATGCATCATAGTAATGTTCATAACCAACATCAATCAACAGGAGGAGGAGGAAATCAAGTACGAAAATTTAAAAGAAATCAATTAAAAGATCCTAATGCGCCGAAAAGACCAAATACTGCATATATTTTGTTTAGCAATGAAATTCGTCCAGAGACTAAAGATGCTAATCCAAAAGCAAATCAAAAAGAAATAGTCACTATGATTGGTCAAAAATGGAAAGCTCTTTCTAGTGAACAAAAAAAGGTAAATTATATATATATAATATATTTTGAATCTTTTTTTATTAATTTTTTATTTTTCTTTTTTTTTTTTTTTTTTTTTTTTTTTTTAAAAAATTTTAAAAGGTATATGAAGATCGTTATTCGGCTGATAAAGAAAGATATGACGAAGAACTTCGTGCTTATAGAGCAGGTCATCATGCTGATTCACCAGTTTCAATAACATCAAATGAAGATAATGGTGGTGAAAGTTCCAATAATAATAATAATAATAATAATACATCTAATAAACGAATGAAATCAACAATAGGTTCTTCTAGTAATAGCAGTAACACGTTTATACCAGTACAAATGATGGCTCAAAATCATAATGTTGTTGGAAGAGTGCAAATTCCAACTTCAGTAGCTCCACCATCACATTCTTCCAATGCCACCACAACCACAACAACTGCTACTACACAATTCTTAGACCCTCAATTATATTCAATGCAAGACGTATTAACTAATAAAAAATCTGGTAACACGGTCTCTTTTGAAAATGTACAGCAACAACAAGAAGAAGCGAATTCTTCTAGAAAAAATACTTCCAGAGCAAATAAACGTACAATATCTGGTATTAGGAAAGATGATAATCCAGATGAAAACGTGACAGAGGATGGACTATCTACAAAGAAAACTCGTTCTGCAACTGCTAAAGGTGATGATTCTCTAAATGATAATGATTATAATGATGAAGCTATAACAATTGTGGTGCAAGATGATTCTTCTTCAAATAAAAAACAAAGACCTAAACGTGGTTCTGGTGGTAACAACGTTTCTTCTACAAATGGATCTAAATCTAATACTGCTACTCAACAAGTTAATACTATTGCTCCATCAACAACACAAATTACTACTCGTAGTACTAGACGTACTGCTAAATCTTAAAAAAAAACTTATAATAATGATAATGATATTATATATTAAATACTACTATATATTATTAATACCGAAATCTGAAAGACTTTCTCATCAAAAAACGTTAATATCCCGGACATTATTATATATAGAAAATCTTCGTTGATGTAATTTTTTTCGGAAAAAATCGACACATAATTTCTTTAATAATAATAATAGTGATTGATAATAGAGTGACGATAGTAATTATTAATAGTAATTATTAATTATAATAGTTGGGTTTGGGAAATTCCTAAATAATTTTCTCTTTTCTAATTAATCTTTTTTTTTTTCTTTTTTTATAAACTTATAAATAATAATCTTTATTGTTTATTACTATTCAATATACTTTTTGTTTTAATTAATGTAAATATTAACCATTATTATTATTTTTTCATAATTAATAAAATAATTTAAATAAATATAATCTAAATATCTAAACAGAGTGTGAAAAATGTCTCTTTGATATCTTGTATCATTCAAAAATATGTTTTCTCATATCAAAAAACTTTCACCACATCCACAACTTTCTTTAACATTTGGATTATTAAAAACAAATTTAGAAGATAATTTGTCCTCGACATAATCCATTTCTGAACCAAGCATTTTAAAAAGCGATTTAGAATCAATTAAAACATTAACTCCTAAATGAATAAATAAATAAATAAGTACATGTAAATATAGTAGATATAAATTAAAAAAGTAATTATTAATAATAATAATTAATTAAAAAAATTTATTTCTACCCTCTTGAGTTACCACTTCATCAAATTTTCCTTTTTCTTTGGTGAGCTCCAAGTCATAAGACAATCCTGCGCAACCTTTGTTTTTTACAGCTACTCTGATCAATTTTGGATCTGGACCCTCGACAAGTTGACGTAGTCTCTTTACAGCTGAAGGCGTCTTTTTTTCATTAGTATTTTAAAATAAATAAAATTTGATATGATAATGACAAGACTGTGAGTTATATATATAACTTACGATTGTCAATGCTGCTTTTTTTTGAATTCTAGGTCTTACTTTTGTTGTTGAATTGTTAACAGCTTGTTTAATTGTTGAAGTTGTTGCCGATCTCAATGCTCCTGCTAATGACATGATTTTTTATTTTTCAAAAATAAAAATATATGAAAGAAAATCTTAATGTAACGCAATGATGATTAACATTATTACTAATACTAAATACTAATATTTTTAATAATTAAAAAAAATGGGTAAAATAAAAGACTTAGTAAAAAAAGATAAAAAAGATAAAAAAGATAAAAAAGATAAAAAAGATAAAAAAGATAAAATAGCAAAAAAAGATAAAACCATAAAAAAAAATAAAACTATAAAAAAAGATAAAGTAAAAAAAGAAAAAACAGACAATGACACAATATTAAAAACCGATCATGATAAAAAAGATAAAAAGAAAAAGAAGGAAAAGAAAGATGAAAAATCAAGTGATCAGAAGGATGAATCTACTATTGGTGCTATAATAAGACCCACAACTTCTTCAATTATACATACTACAATACGCAAAGTGACAGCAAAGATTTTAATAGATTTTCCACCAGCGGCTTATAAAAATCCAACGGAAAGTGTTTATACAATTATGAATTCTTTAATAATGAAGTAAGCTTGTTTTTTATATTTCGCTGATTCACGTGATATTTTTAATCCCAATTCACACATGTCCATATTCATATGAATTGGAATAAGATATAATGAACAATTAGGCGGATTTGTAATAAGTTATGAAAATTTGGTAAAATTAGATGATTCAGGATATATATTTGAAGATTCACCATATGTGCATTTTTTTGTTCAGGCAGATTGGACTATTTGGTCAGCACCAAATGGCAGTAAATTAAGTAAATATATTTTTTATTTGAAAGGTTTTAAAAAAAACTTTTTTTCTTCCTTCACCAAATTAAAAATTTTTTTGTCCATACTTAGTTGGTAAAGTTGTGGGTCAATCAAACAATCATATTGGATTATTGGTACTTGATATATTTAATGTAAAAATTCCTTATACAAACATGCCTAATGAGATATTTGAATGGGATGGGCAAAATGACCTGGTTGAGAAATTGCTTACAATAGAAAATATTCAATTGGAATTAGTGACGACGCAACAAACTATAGGAAGTTGGATAGATAAGAGAACAGGTGAAAAATTAATTGATAGATTTATTGAATTTGAAGTAGTAAGGTAAATTTTTTGTTTTTATTAATTACATTTGTTTATTAATTAATATTTTTACCATCAATTAATTAACATGATCTGATTATCATTAGTTCAAACGTTGATTTAAGTTTTAATTCGATGACAATAGTTGGATCCTTACTTTATTATAATGACACCAACAAAAATAAAGATAAACAGTAGTAAAGATAAACATTAACATTGATAGTTAATAAGCGGTAGTGTAATTTTTATTAAATGAAAAAAAAATGAAATGTTTTGTTAATTAAACTATTATTAAATAAATTATTAATTAATTCAAATTAAATAAATTATTATTTAAAATTAAATTAATAAATCTAAATTACTATTAAATAAATTATTAAATTATTAGATTATTAAATTATTAAATTATTTAATCATCATATGTATTATTAACTTTGATAACAATTTCTTGGGGCTCAGATTGTTCTATTGGATCGACAATGTCAACTCTACTGTTTTTGCTAATATTATATAAATGTTTCTTTTCTGTTAATTCACGCCTCGCTACTTTTCTTGACTTCCTCCTTTCTTTTACAATATATTGTTTAATGTAAAATTGTATAATAAGTGAAAAATATACCTGTAATAACAATTAATAATCATTAGTAATTAATTGATTAATATATTGGCAATTAATTGAACAAGAGCGTATTTATACATACATTCGCGGAAATTATTATTACGTATTCAATTATCGACTTTAAAAAATCGTTGTCCACTTTATCACTACAATTTTTATATGATGCCATAGTGTTAGCCATGTCATTAGGGTCTGGGGCTAGTTCTTGTGCGCATACATTACTAAAGTCATGTTTACTAATCATTATTGCGGAAGTCGTGACAATAGCTACTACTGTTACGGAGAATACTGAAATAAACCATGTAGTATATGAATATATACGAAATAATTTTATGGATTTCTAATTTATTATAATTATATATCGTGACGTATGAATGGTTAATTAGTATAATGTTAATATATATAAAAAAAAATAAAACCAAATTCTTACGCCGAAAAAGAAAAATACGACAAGACCATATAAAGCCACACATGAAAGAGATATGAATACTATGGCATTAAATGTTGAAATTGCTCCAAGATATCCAAATACTATTATATATATAAAATACTAATAGTATTAATTATCATTATAATTAGCAAAAGAAAATCAATAATAGTTGAAAATGTTGATAATTACTATTAGTATTCTTGTTGGTATCAAATGCAGGTCTAAGAAAATATGCCGCAGAAAGCAAGCCTATAATCTATAGATAAATCGAATTGAATTTATTAAATATTATAATGAACGTTAATGATATTTCTAACATGATATCAAGTAATTACCAGCCATATTACAGCCGAGATAATGACTCCTTGTCGCAATTTCATGCAAAAGAAAAAATGTTCATATTTATGCCTTTGTTTCTTTACTATTCTATTAAGCATCGTTTTATTGTGTGTGTGCGCGTGTGTGTGTGTGTCTATTTCTATAAATTAATGAAAGTATTAAAATTGGGAGGGAAAATTTGGAGTTTGGAGAAATGTTAGGAATTATTAGTAAGTAGTAGTTTGATGATATATTTGTCCCTTTCAAAAATAATTTTTTTTCTTTGAGAGGAAAAAAAAACTTTTTTTAAAAGGGGCATAATTTAAAAGATTGAATGAAAAAAAGTGAATTCATTTATATTTATTTTTCCATAATTTTACGTGAATAAAGAACGGATTTGTTTTTCCTAAATTGGAATTTTTATTCATAGTGTTGCAGATTAATCTAATCGGTTATCAGATTTTCAATTTCCAAGATAAAAAGTTGCAGATAATTCCAAATTTGGTCAGTGCAATACTTGTATGAAATTTTCAATTGCATTTTTTTTTTTAATTTATTATAATTCATCATCTTTTATTAAATGTAAAATAAATATATATAATTAGTCATTTTAATTTACTAATTCTTTAATAATCATTATATCAAGGTTAATAATTATAAGTGATTTCTATTAAGCCGTAATATTATGTAATTAATTAGCTAAAATAATAACAACAATTATGATTTTCAGTCATGGATTATGCGAATTATCAAGTATCTCTCTCGAATATATCTCCCACGCACATATCTATAATATCTAACTTGTTTCTTTTTTCTATAATTTATTTTTATATTTTTTTCAAAATATAATTTTCAATAAAATATACTCATCATTAACAACCGCAACGATTTTATAAAAATAAACATTATAAGAAAATGATAAAAATGATAACAAAACCTTTAAAATTGAAAAGAAAATTTTTTTGTCTTTTTGCTTTTAATTAATTTACTTGAAACGATTAATTAATTAATTCAAAGAAAAATAAAAAAAAGGAACGCGTATACGATATGAATAATAATAATATTAATGTTAACGATGATGATGGATCTACACACATAAATTCCCAATTCTTATTAAATCCAAAATACAAATCCATCTCTTCATCTACCACATATTCCTCTACCATCAACACAACTCAAACTTCAGGTTCTCGGGAATCTTGTCCTAACTATCCTTTTATAAATAATAATAATAATAATAATCAGTTTAATCAAAATCATCAATATTCACCACATTTAAATTCACTTGATGTAATATCGTTACTACAATACCCTAATACTAATAATACTCAAAAAAACAATACTAACGACGATGACTATGAAGCTGACCAACCACATGCACTTCATTCAATTAATTTGGATAATACTACATGTCAAAATTATGGTATGTAAATTTTAATATCCATTTATCATATATCGAAATAGTTATATGTAAAATATTTCGAAATTTTTTTTTTAAATGATCAAAAAAATCTAGCATTTAATCATCATCCCATTCATCCTTCAATAAATGAAAAAGGTAAAAGGTGTGGTGGTTTGACTTCTGACTCTGATAGTCAAGATACAACGAATCTTGACCCTTGCTCAATTGGTATATCTGATGATGACACAAGATATTCATTATATGCTACATCCAGAGACACATTGCAACAAATTTTAGAAAATAGTAAACCTTCTTATCGTTACTTTTCTCCATCTCATTATTCCTATGGTCTTGATTCATTAAATGGCGATCATTCTCTTGGCGATCATACCACAAACAATAATGATTATTTTGGCTTAGATTCTTCACCACCTAATAATAATAATAATAATAATAATAATAATAATAATAATAATAATAATAATAATAATAATAATAATAATAATAATAGTCATTCAAAAAAACCTTATATATGGAATTCGGACAATATTACAATTTCAAAGGATGGGATTGAAGATATTTTTATAGATCTTACCAGGAAATTTGGTTTCCAAAATGACAACAGACGTAACATGTTTGACCATTTGATGTGCATGCTAGACTCTCGTGCTTCAAGAATGTCTCCATCACAAGCTCTGTTAACTTTACACGCTGATTATATTGGTGGTGTTAATGCTAATTATAGAAAATGGTATTTTGCTGCTCGCATGTATCAGGATGATCAATCTGGTTCTGCTGTTGAAAATTCTACTGCTGCTATAAAACCTAATGAACAACTGGAGAAATGGTATCAGGAAATGAACTCAATGTCTCCGAATGACTATGTCAAACAATTAGCACTATATTTATTGTTATGGGGTGAAGCATCTGTAATCAGGTTTACCAGCGAGTGTTTATGTTTCATTTTCAAGTTGGCCTATGATTACTATAAAAGTCCTAATTGCAAATCAACGGTTGACCCTATACCAGAAGGTGAATATCTGAGAAATGTTATCATGCCACTTTACAATTATATTCGTGATCAAGGTTATGAAGTTGTAGATGGAAATTTTGTTAGAAGAGAAAAAGATCATGCCGACATCATTGGTTACGATGA